TGCTTCCAGAGACGGTGCCGAACTCTTTCTGCGGATTATCCTACCTCACCTCTCACGGGAGTCACCAGGGTGACAATTTTGTCCTTTTTGTTTACTAGATGAGGAAACGAAGGCTCTGTTTGGTTAAGGAATGTGCGTGGGGCCACGGGGTCTGTCTACTTTTAGCCATTATACGCGATTCACTTCAGATCGCTCAGCCTCAAGGTTTGCAGACATCCACAGAGAGATTTAGTGTGTGCATCCTAAGATCTTATATCCTTTTCCCTCAATATATTTATAGCTCTAATCTAATTAGCTGGCTGACTGCCCTATCTCCTCTGCCCCTTTCCTCTTCCAAGTATTTCGTAAATTTCCACTAGATATTGAACAGTGAGTTAGGTTAAAATGCAGGGTCGCAGACATGTTCCCTTAGGAGGCTAACAGTGTGGTGTAAGATTCCCCCGAATAAATCCATGACTAAAACAGACCCACTCCTCGGAGAGCCCAGAGGCACAGCCTCTGCATGCAGGGAGCCAAAGAAGAACTTCTGGAAAACGTGGCAAGGGGGTGAGTTTTAAAGAGAAGGTGTCTGATAACTAGGCCAAGGACTGATATTCCAAACTGACGGGCCTGCTGGAGGCATGGAGGCAGGACATGGCCAACGAATGTGGGGAGCCAGCAGGCTGGAGCTGGGTTGGGCTGGAATAAGGGCTATAGGGCCGGCAGGGCAGGTTTGAACATGGCCCTGTGTGCTAAGTCGGGGGATGTTAGCTGTCTGGAGATTGACATGATCAGGTACATGATTAGGAAAAATCTCTCCAGCAAGTTGGGGGAGGAGGGCTGCCTAAGGTGGGGGGACTGATTAGGTCCAGGGAGTTAAATTAGGAATTGGGGGATGGAGGGAAAGATTAGAACTGCCCCAAGGCCATGGCAGTGTGGGTTGGCAAGAAGAGTTAGATTAGAGAACGATGCCGGAAGAAGAACGGAGAGGATGTGATTTGATGGTTAGATGTAGGAGGTGAGCAAGGAGTAAACATGGCTCCATGGTGTCTGTGGTGATGCTGGCGGTGGGAAGGAAAGGGTGGAGCTGGGCAGGACAGACAGCCTTGGCCTCGCCGGGGACCGAGGGGAGACAGAGCTGGTGGCAAGGAGTCTGCCTGTCTCTGCAGTGGGTGATGGCACCCTTAGCGTGACTCAGGCCTCTATCTCAAAAACCCTGACTACTGGATAACTTGTCCAGCCTTAAAACCAAAACACTGATTTTTATTTTAACTTATATTTTACATTTTCTGTTCTCAAATCTTAAATTTGACAAAATTATGTTAGGATGAATGTTAACTCTCTTTTGATTACCAAAGGAACCCATCTTGACTTTCCATTTAGGGAAATCGAGGGAAGTCTAAAATGTTCACCTTAGAGAGACGGATTTGGAGGTTGTGTGTTCTCTGTCTCTTCATTCTCCTCCACCTTCCCTCCTTTTCTTTTTTATGTACTTATTTATTTTTAGTTACTTATCCATTTATTCGCCAATGTATTCATCTAATATTTATTGAACATCAACTAAAGGCCAGCAATAAAACAGTCCCTCAATTTGCATAAATCCTAATGGGACAGATTCTGACAACAAATAAGCAAACCAATATCTGTCGGGCGGTAGGACATGGAGAAAAATAAGCTAAAGTAAAACTTGGCGGGAGGGTGGGGGGGATTCTAAGTACCAGAGATTTGCTGTAGAGTGGAGTGGAAAGACCTGTCTGATAAGGAGGGGGGGACATTCGCTTGAGCCATGAAAAAACAGGGACACAGGCCTTGAAGCAAATGCAGGGAGAGGATGCTCTAGACACAGGGAACATCAAGTGCCAAGGCCCCGAAGTGAGAGAATGCTTAGCACTGAGGAACAGCCGTGGCTGGAACAGAATGAGCGAAGGGGAGAGCGGTAGGCGACGTCTTGGAGGTAGCAGGGAGCCAGCTCAGACGGCAGAGAGCCAGTTCTTGGAAAGAACCACAGAGACCCATGTAGGAGGCTACTGAAATACCCTCTGGGGGAGGGGACTGTGGCTTGGACCCGTGAGGGAGCGGTGAAGTGGTGAGAAGCAAATCGGATATGGACTCATTTTGAAAGCAGAGTGGAGGGATGTGAGAGGCAGGGGTCAAAGATAGGGCCAAGGGTTTTGACCCAAACTGGACAAATGGAGCTTTTGTGTCAGATTTGGTTATTTACACACCTGCACAGATTTTTACGTAGTTGAAACACAATTCTGTATCCTGCTCTGCTCCCCCCTCACTTCTTTCCCCTCAAAGCAGAAAAGTAAAGGAAATCAAACAGAAGACATACTCCCCATTTACCTTCTTACTTTTTCTACTCTCATCCTCCCCCTTTGCTCCTTTTTTCTTGTTCGAAAGCCAAACATACATGAACGGAGCCATGCGCTCTGAGTTTTGCTTGGGAGGGGACTCGGCTAGAAGCTGCACTCTCTGTGAACTGTGTGGCCAGCAGCCAAGGGAAATAAAGTTTAATTAATGCTAATTTTTCTAACCTATTCCTTTGCCTTTTCAGCAAAATAAAACTACCTTTGGGAGAACTGACCAAAAAGTTAAAACAGACACCATACTACTAAATCTAGTCATTGATATAGCAAAAATATTTTCCTACATGGTTTGCATTGGGACAAATGATAAAATATTTTATCTTGCTCCTTCCCCTACTTACCTCTACTTTTTATTTATTTTTTTAAGTTTAAACCAGTCAGTCGGCTTTCATGTGTCTTTCCTTCTTTAGAAGATGTAGACCGCCTGTGAGCTTGTTTGCCCTGGGCTATGATCCGGGTACTGGCCTTGGCTGGTCATTGTCACAGCTGCTAAACCATAGGTGTAGGGAGCGCTGGTGGGTGGGCCACCTGCTTCACTCAGTTAGGGTTTCTTTGTTGACCTTTCCGCTCTGTGAGATGAAGTTAGACCAGCTACTGGAGGACCAGTTATTAGGAAGTTAAGTATCACCCATTTTCCTAGGCAACAGTTTTTGTCAATTAAAGGCAAGTTGTGTCTTCATTGGTCTCTGGTGAAGGGTATTGGCTGTTAAGAGTGTAAAGGTGGCTTTCTTGCCTGTGGCCCACTTGCCGGACATGTTTAGGTTTTATGTATAAAGCACTCGAAGTGTTGGTCAAGCAGTGGTTTCTGGGAACTACGGCATTCCCATGAGAAAATGCTGTAACGTAAAGCCCTAGGATATTAAGGCTGGTGATCATTTGAGAGAATCTCATTTGGTTCTACCCTCTCCCCAACTTCCCATGCCCAGATAAAAAATAAATAAATAAAGCAAATAAAACTGACAAGTGAAAAGAAATCTTAACTGTTGCTTGGTACTTGCCAGCTCAGCGAAGGTATCCTCTGATATTAACTTGTTATTGCTCTTTATTCAGTTGATGGCTTGTCTTTGTGACTTACTGGGGGAGGAAAAGGAAGACCCAGGAGGAGCCACAGGTCCTTCTCCAAAGTCTTTATTTTAGATAAAGACATTCCTTTTCATTTTTTAAAATATATTTTATTGATTTTTTACAGAGAGGAGGATAGAGGGATAGAGAACTAGAAACATCGATGAGAGAGAAACATCGACCAGCTGCCTCTTGCACATCCCCTACTGGGGATGTGCCCGCAACCAATGTACATGCCCTTGACCGGAATCGAACCTGGGACCTTTCAGTCCATAGACCGATGCTCTACCACTGAGCCAAACCAGTTTCGGCTCCTTTTCATTCTTACCAACAAAAATCACACAGTGTGGTGCATGTTCTGGAACCTTCCTTACCATGTGAGAGCTGGAAGAGACCTCGGTGACAGTGCATCTCTGCTCTACTCTTTCCCAGGGGAGGGAGCCGATGTCCTAATCAATGAGGGGATTTGTCTCTCATCAGACAGCTTGTTAGAAGCAAGACTAGCGCTACGGTAGAATCTTAGCTCTTGATTCCTGGGCCGTTGTGTTTCCCGTTGCCCAAGCTGTTCCTAAATCTTCACTTCAGAAATTTTCTGATCTAAATATTCTGTCCCTAAAACACGTTTTCTGATGAAGAGCATTCTTTTTTTTTTTTTTTTTTTTTTTAAGGAAGTCAAGATTATTTTAAAATCAGAGTCTATTTTGAGAATTCAATGGCCGTTTATTTACTCACGTGCAGAAATATGCATGTACTCATATACATACAACACTTGGTGTGCAAATCCCGGGAGTGCAGACCCCCTGAATGCCGTCCTAGGGGAGTGAGCAAGTCGGGTCAAAACCCCTGTTTAAAAGTTTATTTATAAATGCTGCTTTAAATATGTATGTCTTCCGCACTTCCAAAATTATACTGTAAAAATATTCTTGATGGGCTTGTTCCCCCAGCATTTAAACAGCATTCTGATTTAGATTATGTTTCTTCCTTCGGAAGGTGCCTTCCTTATCTTTTGGCTTCTCGACTTGAAATGATTTTTCCTCAAGCCCTTCAAATGTTTTTTAATGCATCTCCCAAAGGTTCTAGTTTCAGGTCCACCCTTGTCTGGGAGACTGTCTTTATTTTATTTCATTGATGATACTTTCATTTTATGGACGACTTAATATTTGAATGACTGTGGGCAGGGGCTAAACCTACCTCCTGTGGACCTTCCTGCACTCTGTGCCAGGCATTATTTCATCACCACTTGACAATTCCAATCAGAACGCAAAGCGTCCTCTGGCAACCAGAGTCTGTGGGGTCATGTTTAAGTTTATCATTTCCCAATCCAGAAACAGGCTTCCCATGGTGGTCCATGTAGGTCATCCCTTCTGCCCCTCAACTAGATGACTACTTCATTTCTTTCCCTCAAACTTCAGTGTTCCTTCCCTGCCCTTATCTTAACTGAATACCTTATTTTCTATTTCTAATCAATGGAAGTAATCAGAAGAGAACCTTCATAGGCACTGATCACCACATCCTCCCATCTCCCTGTACCTCTTTTGTGGGGGCTGTGTGCCCTCTGGTTAGGATGAGTGATGGTCCAACGTCACTCACTTGTGCACTGCGTCTTATTCTTTCTCTTCTCAAGGGTGCAGCTCCAGCAATGTCCTCTTCCTACTCGAGCATCAGCTTTTCTCTACATATCAACCTCAACAGGGTTGTTCCCATCAATGTACAGCCTACTGTAAAACAAAGCAAGAACATTCTTGATCTTATAGAATTCCCTGATTGTGGCCTGATTTCTCTGCCCTCTGTTATGGCAAAACTCCTTGAAAGCGACACCTCTCTTCCCAGGGTCCATTCCAGCACCTCCCATTCTCTTTGGAATCCACTCCAGCCAGGATTTTGTCCCCACCTCTCTGTGGAAATTGCTCTGATCAAGGTCACCAATGACGTCCATGGTGGTTACAACAATTGCCTGCCCAGCTTGGGATGTGCCATCTATTGTCCCTCTGAGACCTGTCCCTGAACTGCATATTTGTAAAAGACTATCACAAATGGAAGGAAAGAGATTTTGCCCAAGTGTTCCCCAAATTTGACAAGGCTGAGTGCCCAGCTCCTATTCTGTACAATGTAATTTTATGAGACAATTGAACCCATCCAACTGAAAATATAAACTTTTCTAGGTCCATGCCTGCCAAGGGGTGCATCGGCAATTATCCGATAATTGGATGGTTTAGGTGAAGAGGCAGAATACCTGAGGCATTCTGCTCCTTCCCCTTACCTTCCCCCTCTTCTCCCCCCCCCCCCACCCCTATCCACCCTCTGGGCCTCAGTTGGAACTATTGGCCTTGAAGGATGTGAGCAATTGTCTCAGTGTTTGCTTTCCCTCTGCCTAGGGAGAAGGGCCCAAGGTTTAGAATGTCACATATTTTACTTCAAAGGAAAATGCACAGCATGAGAATGGAGTCTTAGGAGTAGAGCAGGCTGCACCCTGTCTTATAGACAGCCATTGACATGCTCTCTCCATGGGCGCTGGGGGAGAGGACGGCCCCTCGGACTCCCAGAGGAGCCTCGGAATGGACATGACAGCATTGACGGGCTCTGGGGGTGGCGAGGGCACTCCTAATAGGCCGACATTAGAAGGAACTGCTCTACAAGTGACTGGAGATTTATTGCAGTGGGATATGGATGTCTTCCTCACCAACCAGGAGGAGGGAAAGGATCTCAATCCATCTTTTAAGAACTCAGACTATTTCTTCTGTTTCCTCATGGGGCATTCTCCATTCTCTTTCCTTCCAGAATGAAAGGTTCATTTATTTCCCTAGATAAGGTCTGAATAAGGGCAAGACATAATTTAAATGCCGTCAGGCTTAAGATAAATCAGTCATAAAGAGGCAATTATTTTATATTAAATCTGTGTCCTTTCCAAAAAGGAATTTGTATTTATCAATTAACTCATTTTCACCATTTAATTTTTCTAAAGGGATCATGAACTTAAAAAAAAAATTCAGTGTTTTTTTCTTTCTATTTGTAGAAAGATTTAGATAGTTTGGGGGCTCATCTCATATTTAGTTATCTTTTTCATCAACATTTATGAAATATTAAAAAATGCTGTAGATCTAACTTTTTTCTTTAAATATTCAAAAGCTCATGCTACAGTTATGCTACAGTTTTTTTTGTCATACACTGAGATTATTAGATTAGTAATAGGAATGTACAGCAAGCATCTGAATGCAGCAAATAATTTTTGCAATCAGGCTTGAATTTGAATTTGAGTTATCACTGCATGATCTGGGGCTTGCCACTTAATCTTGCAAAGTCTCAATTTCTTCAATAACAAAATGGAATATGGTCTTTGGCTCAGTGGATAGAGCCTGCAGACTGAAGGGTCCCAGGTTCAATTCTGGCCAAGGGCACATGCCTAGATTGTGGGCTCGATCCCCAATAGGGGGTGTGCAGGAGGCAGCCAATCAATGATTCTCTTGCATCAATGATGTTTCTATCTCTCTCTCCTCCCTTCATCTCTGAAATCAATAAAGAAATATATATATATATATATATATATATATATATATATATATTAAAGTTAAAAGAAAAAGAAAACGGGATACAAATGGCATAGGACTGTAATAAATACCTCTTGTTTTTGCCTATGTATCATGCATTTCCTCTTCTTCTAGACCAGACCATTTCCTTTTTTTCACAGGAACGGTTCCTCCCCTGTTCTCAGACCATAAAGTCCTGGTGGAGCTCACCTTCCTCTAGGCTTGGGTTGGTGTTTACTGGGTTCCCCTCCTTCTTGGAAGAGCAAGATGGTATTTAGCAAAGACTCCAGCAATGCTCAGGATCAGAAGACAGAGAGCTCAAGAGGGCTGGATCAGGAGGCGGGTTTGTTTATGGCTCTGTGTTCCTCTTTCTCTCTTCCTTAGCGCATCTCCATCTTCAGCCCTGGCCTTTCTTTAACCGCCAGAGACCATTGGATCTCTGGTGCTGCAATTTATAAGGTAGTTTCTCAATAGCCCAACAACTTGCATGGCTTCCAAATGTGCTCTCTGTTATGTCATCAAAACTTTGGTGCGTAATGAAAACATACCACTCAAGGCTTGTGAGGCTTCCCATCCCGTTAAATCTTACCACCGCTCACCACTGGATATATCAAGTGCCGCCTCCAGAAGGCAACAAGCTCTACTTAGCAATGCAGGGAAAGAAATCAAACCCATCTGCCTGGAGTAAGTGGTCAAAACACAGGAGCTGCTATAAGTATCAATGGGCACACAGGTTAAAGGAGAAGCTGTTCCCTCATGGCATCATTAACCAGTTTGCCTGTTTTCTCCATTTCTGGAAGCTCTAGCTCAAATTTGCAGGCTGATGCTGGTAGCAAAGTGTATGACTTACATACACCAGCAAATGAAAGATCTGATTTTTATATCTAACCTTACCATTGGTGTTGTTTTTCTTTTATGTTTTTCCCAATTCTCCCACACTCCATTTTAATCCTCATTTGATTTTGTTTTCATTCTTTATATCATTTGTAATTATGCAAGCTCTCACAAGTTATCCTATATAATAAAAGGCCAGTGACCATAATGGCATCACGACCAGAATGACCAATTGATCGGTCACTATGAGGTGCATGGACCACCTCTCAGTCCCTCCCCCCAGCCTGCAGGCTCTGAATACTGGATGGACAACAGGGAACCATAGGGAACCAGGATGGGTGATGGTGGCAGGGTGGGACTGGGGACTGGCAAGCAGGTAGAAGAGGGCCCTGATCACAGGCTAGGCCGAGGGACCCTCCCCACGCACTATTTCTTGTGCTGGGCCTCTAGTATTAAAGTAAAATCTGAGCTACTATGGCCAAGGGCAAGCCTGGGCTGGCCTGCCACAAGATGAGAGACCAAATGGGAGCAATTGTTGAGTCATTCTTGCTGAGGCCATTCCAGACCAGTGACCCCTGTCAGCTGGGCGGGCTCATTACAAAAGCATGAGCAAGCCCAGCTGAGACGTGTCAAGCCCTGACCTCCAGCAGAACACTTAGTCTAAAGAGAGAGCATTTTTGGCTTTAGCTGGTTAAGCTGTTAACATCTCAGAAGGTATATTACTCAGAATAGCAGCTAATATGCTTACCAATATATGTTTTTGCTTTTTGTTCCTGCTTCCCCCAGAAGAGTTAAGGAGGCGCCATCTTGTGAGCAAATTGGGGAGAGAGTTTGGGTCACCATTTGGGGGCCTCTTCTCTCTACCCTGTCATCCTAGGATGTAAAGCTGCTATTTATGTGAGGACTAACTGCCCGGAAGAGACACCGTTGGCTCCGCGGGGTGTGTTTACATGGTGATAACCCATCTCCCCTCATCCACAGCCCGGCCCCGCTGCGCTGCGGGCTGGAGGTCAGTGCTAATTGGCCCGGCTGCTCAGATCCTTTTCTGGACATCGCCTCACCGAGAATCTTTGCAAAGGGGAGGGCCCGGGGGGAATGGCAGATCGAGGACTGAAGATAATTTCTCTGGCTCGTCACGGACCTTGTGTGCCGGTGATAAAATAAAGATTAGAAGCTCAGCAAGCAAAGTGGCTCCAGGGTGGGCGTGCGGCCGCACTGTCTTGATGGCAGCTTGCCCTTTAATGGGCACTTTGTGCCTGCTGGCTCCTCGTTCAGAGACCGGGGGAAATCTATTAGCAAATTCCATGCCGTTCATGTCTTGCTCCAGAGCCATCCGGGAGAAGCCTTACCCATTTCTTTTCTGATCCCCTAATTGGAGCCGCTGACGGAAGCGAGCGGACCTGAGCGGCCGACGATGGGGATGCTGAGAGCTTCGAGCGGTTACAGGGCAGAGGGAGATGGTGTCCACGCTGCCCGCAGATCCGTCTGGACGGACGTGGATGGATGCCAGGAGCCGAGGCCTGGAAGGCCTCTGGGCAGAGGTTGTGGTTCGCAGTGACCTCCGCCCGCTCTTCAGCAGCTGACTCCGGCTGACCCGGCGAGCCGAGGTGGAGTGTGGGCTCTGCTTCCCCAGCTTCCTCCGGTGTCTTCTGAAAGAGGCCTCTGGCTATGGTTTTCACGGCATGACAAACAATCCAGACGTGGGAGGTTGGTTCCCATGAATCCCTCTCCTGGGGCCACGGGTGTCAGAGGCGCCAGGGGCCATCCTCTTGGTTAATGGTCTGCACTCTCACAACTGGCCCGTTTGGCTAGTCACCCCGAAGGCCAGGCTGGCTGGTGTTGTAGGTGGCGAGGCTGCTGCACCTGCTGGGAGCTCGCTGAGTGTGATGCAGATGGGAAGGGGAAGCCAGCTCTCCTCCCAATCTTCCTTCCTTTGTGTTTTGCAGAGCAGTTCCTTCTAAGGAAGCCATCAAGTATTCATCAAGCTTTCATGGGGCACCTACAATGTGCCGGGGACTGTTGTGCATGGAAATGAACACAGTGTGACTGTTGCTCTTCTCCAAACACCCTGGTCTTCGTGTTCTCTGGCGCCCAGCACAGCAGCCCTCCCTGCACCCACAGGGCTGTAATGCGGCTAGAAGCACCCGGAGGTTGGGTGCTCCCTCCCCCAGAAATGTAATGGGAGCCTCTTCCTTCTCCTATATAACATGCATTTTGTTCCTTTTTATCCCACCACATTCCAAAATGAATATAAAAATAATAGGCCAAAAGGTAAACATGAAAAGGATATAAGAGAAAATACAGGTAGAAAGAAACGCATGAATTGTGCTCTCTAATGTCCTATAAATGGGATGGGGAGC